AAAACTTATCCACGACTATACTAGTGTCTCATTTATATTCATTTCTTTGTTTGCAATAAAGATTTGAGACATGCACTTGAAGATTGTGTCTGCCATTGTATTGGGTCCAATTTGCTGTATGCAATTCATACTATCCATGGTTCATTAATGTCAAATCCGTACTCAAGAAAGCTCTGAAGGACTTGTCTCACTTGGACACATGGACGAATTTAAAATTAATTAACCTTATGTATCTTTTGGTAATGCAGTCAATAATGCTTAAGCACAAAAGGCAAAGCTTGAGATAAGATACTATGTTAACATGCAAGTTATCCACAGTTCCACACCACCTGTTTACTGTGCCTCTTCGCTTTTTTTTTTTTTTGTCTTTGCAGATGGTTGGATCAGAGATTGGTTTCTCTATTCTGATATGATTTATTTCACCCTTCAGCACTTAGTAATACTTAGGGTGCACTAACTGCAGTTCACTTCGCAGTAGGTTGTCACCTAGAGAAGCACTGAAATTGATTTAGCCCAACCCTTGCTAGTTCTCTGTTAGAATGTCTCTTTTTTAGAGAGTGTGAGAGAGTTTTTTTTGTCAGATTTTTCAGATGAACTCTGCTCTGCTCTCTCTCTCTCTTCTCTGGAGTAAAAAAATAATTCCTCCAGTTTACTGAACTGACTGAAGCCACAACGAACGGTCATGCAATTGTTAAGAACAACAATGGCAGCCAAGTTGTTATCACAACTCGAATCGAAATTGTGGCATCTCTAGCAGTTGCAGACCATGAAATTCTATGGTTCTACCGAAGCAGGAAGGCTGGACTCTTTTCTATGTAAAGGCTTTCTCAAAATTGGATGACAGAAATTGCCCCCTTAATCTGAAGACTGTCGCTGAAAGAATCACGGAGAAATGCCAAGGTTTGCCACTGGCTCTTGTAGCTATAGGGAGCCTTTTATCGTACAAAGAAATGGAGGAGCATGAGAAGGGAGTTGTTCTATAATCAACTTAGGTGGCAGCTGAGTAAACAATCCAGAGCTGAGCTGGGACACTAGTGTTCTGAATCTCAGTTACAATCAACCTGGTTTTACCTCAAGAATTGCTTTCTTTACTGCGGCCTGTTCCCTGAAGATTATCGGATCGACAGAAAATGGTTAATCAGATTGTGAATAGATGAAGAAACTGTTCAGGACAGAGAACCTGAGACAACAATGGCAGATGTAGCAGCATTGTCACCTGAAGGAACTTGCTAGTCGATCATTGCTTCAGGTTTTGGAAATGAATGAATATGGAAGGAAGGCCAAAGAGATTCCAGAAGCCCAGATGCATGATCTTGTTAGAGAAATAGCCCTAACCATATCCAAGAAGGAAAAAATTGCTACCATATGGGACTGTCCTAACTCGGATGGAATTACCAATGGATCACAGTGTGCTTCTTACAAAAGGATTATGGCAATTTAGTCCAAGCAGCAAAATGTTCATCTCAGCTTCGGTCCATGTTCGTGTTTTCAGAGGAAATATCATCGTCTTGGTTCAGACTGCTGCCTGAGAAATTGCAATATTCAGAAAGTGCCAATTGTTTTACTTGCACTACCTAAACTTCGGGTACACAAAACTGAAAGACATACCGAGATTGATAGGGAAGCTTAGCAATCTGCAAATGCTTTATCTCAATGGTTCTGTACTGGAGTTGCCAAGTGAAACCACAATGTTAACTAAGCTTCACCACCTACTCGTAGATGGGCGGTTTGGGATGTCAGCAAGTAGCAAAATAAGTCAACTGCAACATCTACAGTCTCTGAGAAGCATAGAAGCCAACAGCTACATGGTTAAAAACATTGGATGCTTGACAGGGATGAGATCATGAAGGTACTGGAGTCCCACAACACAGATCTATGGGCCTCAATCAGACATCTCTGAATTCATTGTCCGTTTTCGCAGAAGATCGCGATCGATATATTCTTGATCTATGGACAACTTGAAACCTCTATCTCACCTGGAGAAGCTAATGATAAGTGGCAGGATACATAGGCATCTGGGCTTCAAAACCATTACAGGTAAAAATCAACCCAGTCAACCTTTTCTCTCTTCCTTCTTAATGAAACAGCAGAGCTCCTGCTTCAGTTTCAAAAAGAATAGGGTATGTTCACTTTGTTGGGAAAAACATGCCAAATTTTAATAATATAGAATTAAGGTTGGGTGGTGTTTGGTTTGATGTCTTAACAAATTTTACTAATTTTTAAGAGTGGGTAATTTCAAAATTAACAAAATTTGGTATCTTACCAAAAATTAATAATGTCAAAATTTGATACATTTGACGTTTTGTAGCATTGAATGTTTGGTTTGAAGCCTTGCTAAATTTTGATGGAGTTTTTTTTATAAAAAAATACCATTTTTATAGGGTGGTCCGCAATCATATAGTAGGCCTTGGCTTAACGTGAGAGTTTTCTACTTCCGTGTCCTCTTTCGGCAACTTGTTGGTGTTAAGGAATTCGATAAGCGGTGTTCACTAGTCCTGAGTGGTCTCGATGTCTGTGACGATTTTGTCAATCTAAGTAGTAGCCCTCGAGCCAACGTCGGTGGTGCTATCGATGTCGTCGTCTGGCGAACTCTTGACGGATGGACTGGTTAATACTTAATACTCTAGGAACATGCTGGATTCCACCGGCTTTCTCCTGGAAGCTCGTCGGGTGAGGTTGTCGACATTGGTGTTGTCTTTGCGATAGACATGGCGCACTTCGAGCTCGTAATCCTTGGACAATTAGGGATTAGAGCCTCCGTAATCCTTATGCACTTGGTTGGCGACTTTCTGAGTCACCTTTCACAATCAGTCATTTTACCCTGAGTGTTGTGGCTGCTTGTAGTCCAGCTAGGAGTCCTTCGTACTCAGTAGTGTTGTTGGTTGCTCGAAAATCTAATTGGTCTACATGTAACCAAGAATTTTGTAAAATTTTCTTACTGAATTCTAGAAGAGTTGAATTTTCCAAAAATAAAAATTTGGGTATTTTACAATGCGGATGCTGCAGTTGTCATCCTCATCCTTGAGGAAGACATGGTCGAAGGCGGAGCACCCGATGAACACCTTGATTGCCTTTCCCCAAGAGGATCAGTTTGACGATGTTGTGGGATAGGTCGACGAGATCAAGACATAGTTGTTAACGACCAAATTTGGTAATCTGAGTATCGAAGATGAAGATCAGATCGAAGCGGAATCCAAGTCCAAGATCGTTTCGGAAACAGAGTAAGGATCGGCTGAAGTTCGAATCGGCTACGATCAGGATCGGTAGAGTCCGAGTTGGACAGGGTTAGCCGATCAAGCCGAATCCGACAATATGACACGGCATGCGTTGTTGGGTTGGGTTAATGTGCTTCATGATGATTGCCACGTATGGATAGAGTCCTGAGAAGGCAATTGTATCTATTAATTAGGATATTTCATGTAATTCCCTTAGAGATATGTTTGGACAAAAGTCTGCCGCAAAGACTTATGGTATCTTAGAGTTTGTTAGAGATAAAAGTCGTGTCCGACACGGGCATATTTTGTAATCTCGGGTATAAATAGACCCCGAGCCCCATGTAATCAATTTAACACATGTTCAATACAATCTCGGCGCATCGCCACCCTTTTACTTTCGTTTCGTTTCGACGAGTTCTTGCTTTCGGGTTGAGCTGCATCGGTTTCGATCTTCAACTAGAGGTAAAACTTGTTATGGCGGCCTGCGTTCTCAGGATTAGTGCTTCCATCTTTATGATACTCTAATCTTATTTATGTAATTCGTCGAGTTATCATATATCTCATATAATCTCCGGCAATATCGTTATCTAACCTCCAATCGGCTAACATCTGTTACTAGAAGGCAGCCGATTAGGTTAAGTAGTGACGTTGACATAGATTATATAGGATATCCACCACTCTATGAAACATCCAACGGCTTGATTGTCTAGATATTGTCTTTCTTTTCATACTTATAGTTGTATCAGTTAAGTTTGACCTTATAAGTCGTGATTAGGATCTCAATCTCTAGCCTGCTTTTGGTTGCCGATTAGGGTAGCATCGGGGTTTCAGCCAATCTTACCTAATTTAACTATATTTATCTCATATGCTTGATTGACATGTTAAATCTGCCCTTTATGTTAAGATCTTGCTGCATTTAAGTATATTAGGCTTTTGTTTGGTATATTTTACTTGCTTTGATATCTTAATATAGAGTGGTATCGGAGTATTACCCAAGACACGCTAGATCTATCTGATCGGCTATGCTATGAACATATATAGTCTTATTGTTAATATATATTTCGATCTAAGTGATTTATACTGTCTCGGCATGGCGACCGATCTATCCCAATCACTTGATTTAAGTATATATCGACATAAAGGCTACATATTGTTAATATCTACAGCCGATCGAGTAGATTTAGTTCTTTCTTACTTATTTATGATTGCCGATCGATCTATATGTGACATCGGCTTAAAAATAAATGATATGTCATCGGCCACTAGCCGATCGGCTATCGTTTATAGATTTAACCGCGGTTTCTTTGTCTTTATTTCTTGTTGATTGCATGATCAAATCAACTGGCATGCTCACGAACCTAAAGGCAAGCTTTTGGACCTGCACTAGAGTTAAGCAGATTTCTCAGGCCTTGTGTTTTTACATCAACAATAGTCTAGGAAAGGTCTGCACGTCGACAGTGCAAGAAGCGATCCAGGGTGGCAAGCGACGTGTGCGGCGATGAAGAGCGTGTACAAGGTGAAGAATAGCCACGCACGGGGGCCGGGGCGTGGAGATGGCAGATCGACTTGGTAGGGAGGTGTAGCAGGACCTCGAGCTACATGTCTGGAAGCAAGATGCAGTCCACTGCGGCGGAGGATGACGTCATTGAGGATGAGGAGTTGAGACTAGCGGTGAAAACAGGATGTGTACTTTGGCCAGCCCGCCCGACTGACTATACATAATTCAACAATTACAGCTTGCACCTATTTATTCCATTCTAAAACTATAAAATTTGCTTAAAACAAATTTTTTACCATGTAGACCACAAAAGCATTTATAAACTATTATATTGAAGCCACATCAGAGTGTTCTATTATAGCTGCAAGTAGTCTTGGCATCGGGGGCATATCAAGCTCATGTAGACCCTCAATGGCCCGGACCACTTCACCCATTGTCGGCCGATCAGACTCAATTTCTTGGATGCACCAACATGCAACTTTGCAAACTCTTTCAGCCTCTTCCAAACTGAAGTCGTCATGTAATCGTGGATCCATCAAACTATGCACATCTCCCACATGAAGCTTGTTAATTGCTCGCACAGGAAAATAAGCACCATGATAGCTGTTGCTAGCAGATACTTTAGGTGAATTTCTCCTTCCTGATATGATTTCCAATAGTACCATGCCAAAGCTGTAAACATCAACTTTTGGTGTAATAGCAACTCCGCTAAGCCACTCTGGGGCAAGATACCCTACAGTACCTCTGAATGTAGTTAGAACTCGGCTAAAATCCCTTCCTACAATCGCTGCCATCCCAAAATCTGCAATCTTAGGAACAAATGATTCATTCAGAAGTATGTTTTCTGGTTTAATATCACAGTGTATGATGCATTCGCGACAACTCTGGTGCAGGTAGCACAATCCTCTAGCAACTCCTATAGCTATTTGATACCTGGTGCTCCAATTTAGAACGGTAGCATTGCTCTGAAATAGATGGGCGTCAAGAGACCCATTTAACATGCGTTCATACACAAGTAGCCTCTTATCACCTTCGCAGCAGAAACCAATCAGTTTGATTAGGTTGATATGTTGGGTCATTCCAATTGAGCTCACTTCTGCCCTGAATTGCTTCTCTCCCTGACGAGCACCATCAAGCCTTTTCACTGCTATAGCAGTCTGGTCTCCCAACATTCCCTTGAATACAGAACCAAAACCACCTCCTCCTAGCTTCTCTGAGAAACATTTAGTAGCACGAACTAAACCGGTGTATCTAAAGGCTATAATTCCACCATCATTACCTTGACTGCCATATAATGGCACACCACACCACTTGGATTTGTTAATCCAAATCGTTAACAAAAGCATGAGCATTAGTAATCCAAAACTAACGACAATGCTTACAATGGCAACAACTCTTGGTCTCCGTTTGTTGTTCTTCCTTAAACTTTGTGAATCTCTGGCGGCGAGGCGAAGGTAAAGAACATTTTCAGAATGATTATCAATGCCATCATTCTGATTCACACTTCGCAATTCCCCATGCCAGATAGAGCATCTGTTACCATTATAGGTATAAGCAGTGCAAGCGCAGTCATGAAGACAAGCTTCTTCGCAATCGCTCTGGGTCGAAGCATCTTCCATGCTTTGAGGGTACAAGGGCAGTGTAACAGGAGCTATGGGGTGGAACATGTCTGTTGAACTTGTGTTGTTTTGTTTACCAGATGCACAATCTAAGGGAGTATCTCTGATGCACCCTCCAATCGGATCACCGGCATCCCAATCCTGCGGTGACTTGGGAGAGAAGCTCTCCATACATCCACAGAATGGGACTGAATTGCCATTGCAGACCGTGAAAGGTCCACAGACATCGTGCAGGCTGCATGGATCAGATGGTTCTGCATATATGGTTTGCCAAGACATTTTGGGTTGTGACCAAACATTCAGCTTAACCTGACCAGTGATGTCTATGGAAACGAATACAGAAGCCGATTCATCAAGGGAGGTGTACGTGAAGTACTCCTCCTCATTGTTGTGGACATATGCAGGTTTGAGCAAGCCTTTGGTCCGTGGATCCATGTCTAGCAGCTCATTGAGCAATGGTACAAGCGTATACGCCAATTGTCCGGATGACCAAGACCAATACACCACGACGGGAGGTTTGCGACGCCTAAGGCGCAACACCGTGTTTGTGTCCATCTCAAGGATGTAAGAGCCGAGGCCCATATCAATGAGGCTCTTCTTGGCAACGAACCGACGGTTCAAACCGGTGATCTTGTTCCTACCTAACTTAGCACCCGGAAGCCCAACATCTGCAGGGTAGTCGAAGCTCTGCCACAACACAACATTGCTACTAGCCATGAGGAGTAGGTTTCCATTGTTCATGAGGAGAGCACTGGTGTTTGTGCTGGATGATCCTGTTGTCCTATTGACAATGGTGTGAGTGCTGGACCAGATTATGGACTCTGAACTGGTGTTGTTGTTGTTCAAGACGATGGCAAGATTGCCATCTCTTGAGATTTTGAGCTGTGCTTGCTTCAGCTCAGGGCCAGTGATGGGATTCTCCCTATTAGCAACCCAAGCTGTAGTAAAAACCTGGATCTTGTTGAACCATATGCCAAGATACCAGCCAGGCAATGTGTTGGTGGTGGTGTTAATGGACTTACTGATGCCTGCAGTTGGTTGTGGCTGGAAGAAGCCGAGCGCGAACTTGCCGTTCCTCGAGACGAGCTTCTCGCCGACAGAAAGCGCTTGGCCTACCATGAGAGTGTCGCCATCTGCAATGGCGGCGGAACATGGAGGAGTGTGCAGGGAGGAGAGGAGAAGCCCACTGAGTAGTAGCAAGACATAGAGAGGAGGTGGCATGGCTGGAGAAGATAGGTGAATAATGGCTGAATTGGAGAAGGGAGGAGTATATGCTTAGTAACGGTTTAGCTATGTAGTGCTGGTATATGCTTTTATGTTTTATTTGGACAAGTAAGAGGAATGCATGAGGAATGCATGTATATACAGAGAACACACGCGGGGGACTGCATCAGCCTATCCATCTATCATGGGGAACACATGAGGTTTAATGTAATTCTTCCATCCTAAAATATATCAGCCTAGTATAGAATAAGATACATTCTAATACTATGAATCTGGACAGGGGCCTGTTTAAATTCGTATTATTAGAATGCACTCCGTTTTGTATTATAAGTCACTTTGACCTTTTTTTTCTGATCAAACTTTATGAAGTTTTACTAAGTTTATAGAAAAATAGTAACATTTTAAACACCAAATTAGTTTAATTAAATCTAGCATTGAATATATCTTGATAATATATTTATTTTGTGTTAAAAATGCTACTATATTTTTATATGAACTTAGTCAAACGTGAAGAAGTTTGATTAGGAAAAAAGTCAAAACAATTTATAATATGAAACATAGGACGTATCTCATATGTTGCTATATTTTAGAACGAATGTAGCATAATAGATGCTGCAGGTTGGAGTACATGCATGTTTAATTTAGGCAGCTGACAGGTAGAACAGGAGCTGCAAGGACCTTCCTTGGTCATGTTTGTTCACTCTCATAGATTCAGAGTTTCAGACAGCAACTTGGCCTGGTAGAGGTACAACGGTACTCGACACGGCAACGTACGATGCTGCGGGTCATGTTGGTTCACATGTCTACTAGGTCCTGCAGATAGAAGAGCAGAGCACATTCAAGTCGGCATGATGATTGTGAAAATTAATTTGTTCAAGAAACTAATGGTTTTATACGACTTCGAATCAAACCATGACCTCTGTATTTGTGTTTCCACATAGGACACATTTGCTGAATTGGCTTTATGTGTTTAGCTCACATCAAAATTGGAAGTTTGGTTGAAATTGGAACGATGTGACGAAAATGTTGAAAGTTTGTGTGTGTAGGAAAATTTTGATGTGATAGAAAAGTTGAAAGTTTGAAGAAAAACTTTAGAAATAAACACGGCATGAAGGAGAGATTCTTTGAAATCGGAAAGATGAAATTAGCAGTTCTTGAAAAGAAGAATGGATGAGCTCTGAACTCTCTGTTCGTCACAACTATGTTTTATGCCGACCAACATCATCTTGAAGGCTTTTGCAGCTGCCTGTCTTTGCCTTGCTGATGGCATCCACAATGTGGATGACAAGTGGATAGTAAGACCCCTTACTACTTACTTTACCATTGTGAAGGACTGGAGGTGGGTAGTCTACCCTATAATTCACCAACTCACTCTTACACCTACATTACTCATTCATCAAATCTAACGGACAGTATTCCTCAGTGCCCGATCTAACGATCATCGCGTCCACCTCAGTAGTGTACTGCCGAGGCTGCTGTAATCGCGTGATTTATTTCCCATCAACGCGCGCGCCTCACTCCCGAAATACCTGCCACCATCTCAATCTGTCGATCCCCTTCCTCGAATTTCGGAATCCTGAAGCGCGAGCAGTCGGCTTCCGCACCTGGTGCCAACGGCCTCGTCGATCACCTGATCTCTTCACTCGTGCGCGGTCGACGTTCTCGCACGCCTGCGAGGTCTTCTACTGGTGAGGAAGCGTCCGTAGACCGCTCGCTACCGAGAGGATCCGGCTGCTCTGTCGCCGAGCATGCGTCCCCGGGTCCCTCTGCCGCCAGAGCCAGGGCCACATCCCGTTCTAGCGGTTGGCGATCCTTGCCTCTTTGCCATGGCATGAGAGAGCTCTGCAGCGATGGCCACGGCATGAGAGGGGCCCTACCGTTTAGCTGCTGCCCTCTTCGCTGGGCCGTCCACAGCTTCTCTTCGCCCATTAATTGTGACGCTGCGCCTGTTTATCTCCTCCCTCTTGATCACTCACGGTCGAGAATTAAGGCTGTGGCGAAGTGGGCGGTGGATAACCTTGGAAGGCTAGCGACCGGATAATCCTGATACATTATGCATGTCCTTCCCAAAGGAGCTCTGCTGCCAAGCACCATAATCTCTACAAGAGCACAGGCTCATATATGCAGGGAAATATCCTTTTTTTCAGTTACTTCAGAAAGGTTAACAGGTTTGTAGCGGATCTATCGTTGCTTTCTGACTTACTGTTTCTCTGAACACTGAAACTTTGGTTCCTCTGCTGGATTTCATGTAGATGAACGTGCAGGCAAGGTATTGGATCAACCCCAATAAGATGGTACTGGAGATCCTGCATGCTGAATCCAGGTCCAAGCAGGAAATGGCTCTGCTGCTTTGCCAAAACTTCATCACTATTTAAGCTCTCCACTCTAGATGTTCAGGGTTCTGCAGATATCTAGGCTGGAAAGGGAAGAATATACGAAGTAGTACAATCCTAACATGCTACATTGTGTTAAAAACAAAAACTACATCTGTAGAATTGAATTGTATAGCAGAATTTACATAAATTATCATCTTAGTTCAAACTAAATATTAATACGAAGGGATATTGTCCAAACTGATAAAATGTTCATTATAGTAACGCCTGATTTTCAGTACGACTTGCCTGAACCTCACACTAACTGATCAAAATGTGCATTCATGACTAAACAAAGAAGAGGCTGCTCTCTGTTTCTCAGTCATTCAACAAAGAGGTCGGCTGATCAAGAGTTGTCTTATTGCAACCAGCCAATCTTATAGATATTCTCTTATCGTTTTATGCATATGTATGGCACAAAGTTATTTAGTGAGGTGAAGTCTGATCCTAAAAATTGGGGAAGATAGTTTTTAGATGAGTTGATGTCACTATATCATATAATTTGAAACCATAATTGAATGTAATATTTTAATCTGTAATTGTCCCTGTATGCTCTTTTTGTTTGATAATTTGAGAAGTCAGATTCCTTGGGTGTGCGCAAACGCGCCTCATAATCTAATGTTGAGCAGTATTCATGTTAATCAATATATAGTAGGCTGCTTGGGCTCATATGTTCACACTTTTGGCTAGCAGCTACAAGGTTGCTTCTATCACTTTGTCCGCTGTGGATAATATCACGAGTAAAGCAGCACCATCAATGCCCAGTACAAGCCTACAAGGTAATTTTATCGTCAATACAAGTGTCAGAAACCATATAATGCTCACCAATTTGTGGTTTATCCTTTTAGACAAACTGACGTTTTGGTTTCTTACCGCATAAATGGAGCAGACCAATGTCCTCTGCAAATTTTATTCATAATCTGCCTATTCTATATAATTCTATATCCACTGTTCATTCATTCTTCTTACTGCACAATAATCATTTTGTACAAATAAATATGTAGTAGCTTTTTGATGTTCCTGCAATATTTGAATAGATGAGTGTAAAGGAATATGTTTATTCTTTGCAGCAGGCAGCTAACCACTGTTACATCTTGATTAGTAAAAAAATATTGCTTTATTTGCATTTCGCATTTTTTGAAACCCTAGGAGCCATTTATTAGGTTTTTGGGCAGCACATGCTTTTCATGTTAGATTTCAGAGCAAAATAGATGGAATGCTACAGGTTGGAAAATAAATATCAATGCCCTCAGCTAAGGCCACCAATGTTGGCATCAATTGAAGCTGCCTAACAAATAAGAAAAACTTTGTAGTGCAAACCCTATATATAATATAAACCTGAAAACTACTGTAGAATTAAAAATTGAATCTTTGGTTCACGTCATCTTGAGTAAACTTTTGCTCCCAGTTTTAACCATGAGCAAAGGTTTTATTAGGATTAAAAGTTTTACTCAGGATGAACTGGATGCATCTCAGATGTTCATTTTTGGATCCTACAATAGTTTCCCGCTTTGCACTACATATAAGGTTTGTAATACATATTTTTGCAACAAATAATGTGTTGTATTTCACAACAGTTATGTATTGGTCTATTGTGACATAGTTCTAGCAACTTTAATGATTTCTTCTGCTGCGGTGTAACCTGTAAATATTTTTCTTCTTCTCAGCCAAATGTTATTCCATTAGAGGATTTAATTTGTTTATTCAAATATCTTAAATACAATTTTTTTTCATCATTACTCTGATACAAATGACGATTATTGATGAAGCAATAGAAAAACATTAAGTGATGTTTGTTTATGCCTAAAGAAATTGCTCCCACTTGATTGAGAATTGAACTACACAACTAAAAGCTGCCCAAGTTTGTGATAGTTATAATAATAATTAAATTAGCATGGATGTTGACATATATAAATTTTTTATGCATGCTTACTAAATATCGCCGTAGCGTTAGCACGGGCCTGCTACTAGTAGAGGAGGTAATAACTATACCGGGTAATAGCACTGCTACCTGGTAATAGGCATAAAAAATATTAAACTCTCTCCTCTCTCACTCCCTCTCTTTTTTCTACCCAATCATTACTTTACACGTGGGTTATATCTTACTATCCACACATTATAGATGGCCAAAAGGCCCGAGGCCCGATGGCCCGGCCCACGGCACGACATTTTGGCCCGGCCGCCGGGCTTTGCCTGGGCCCCTCCACCGGCATGTTGGGCCGGTCGGCCAGGCCCGACAAAAAAATAATAGGGAGCAAAAATAGACATATTATATGTCACAGTTCAAAGAATAGGGACGAAAAATAGACTTATATTAGCTATATATATGTCAGCCCAATGAGGAGGGAGGAAAAATAGACTTATTTTAGCTATATACTAGAAAATGAGCGTGCCAGTTGGCACGCTAGCTAAGTTAGTTAATAGCATGTGTGTATTTCCCTTCAGAAATCATACATTTGAAAAGGATTGTTGAAAGTCCATTCCCTTTTATTTTTATGTTTGTGAACAAACTAAGATAGAATAGTAAAACCATCTAGATTAGTGGTATTATCATGCTGAACAGACTATATAACATCGAGAAATGACTAAAGATGATGTACATTAATAAAATACATGTTTTACTAATATCCAACACAATTCTCATATAGATGTAAGTCATTGAGTTCGTATTAGTAGGAAATACATATCCGAAATAAATGTGTCTTCGATTACTATTTTTTATACTAATTTCATTTAGAAATAAAGGACGATGACATGGTAAAGACACTTATTTTGATTTCATATATCCAGATATACTACTATGTAGAGCTCAGCTGGTCAGGTTCTCTACCTATACGAGTTAAGTTCTAAACTTAGCATAGACGCTTGTATTTACGGCTATTTGTTTTTTCAATGGTAGGAAACCCACCATTCTTCATCACTCCTAAGATATGCCTGATGGCCCAGTCTTCGAAGGTGCTTGTAGTGATTGGGTTTGTATGTGTGCGTTTACAGGTGTGTATACACACGTGTATATGAACATCTATATCTACTGTGTTTCGCGATAAAAAAAATAGCAGTATGATTGTTGTTACTTACCAATGTTCCAAAATAAATGAATTCCTAGCATAAAAAAGTATAATGTGAGGAGAAAAAAACAAAAATACTCTGAATTAATAGGAAAGTAGTTATAAACTTCTCGGTTCACATGGAAATTTCACTTCTATTCCTTCCGTTCTATAAAAATTCAGGTATTTTCCTCGTTTCAAGTAAACCTTATCTGAAGATTTTTAATTTTCCTAACGCAATCCTTGCTGTCACTATTTGTTTTCATTTGATTTAACTATTTATTTATTTTATTCTCTTGAAACACATGATATTAACATGAAGTGACTTTTCCTCATTCCGAGTAATCTGTAGTAAATTGCATTTGTTAAAAGATTATTATGCAAAGGCTAAAAATCCTATTATTTTTTTCTCCTTTTCTTTTTATTCATATTATTTTATTCTAAACTGGCTTAGTAATATGTACCTGTATGTGCTAGCTTCACGCTGCATGAGGACCATGCGCAGCAGCGCAGGTACATTGTGGAGAAAGGCCGTGCGGCGCCAGGCCCAAGCTCGCATGGCCTTGCGAGATGCCTGGCCCACGTTGCAAGCGTATATACGCGAACGTTTTCCCGATCTCTCGCGAAGTGAATACCGTCACTTTGACTCGTGGCAAATTTTTGGAGGGGGTGTAACCAAATTTTTAGGGAGCCACGTGGCCCAATAAAAAGCCAGATCCCCTGATTTCGGTATTAAAGATATGCCACAGCCTAAAGAGGAGGGAGGAAAAATAGACTTATTTTTCAAAAGGCACGATGGACCACCCGTGCCTTCGGGCCGGCCCGGCACGGCCCGACTGCTGGTGGGCCGTGCCTGGGCCGGTGGTGCAGCCCATGGGCCAGCACGGCACGGCCCGGTGTGTTGGTCGGGCTATGCCGGCCCGACAGATTTTGGCCCGAGCACGGCCGTGTCTGGGCCGTGCCGGGCCGGGCCGCCCGAATGGCCAACTATACCACACATTGGCCGTGTTTAGTTCCCCTCCACCAACTTCAAACTTTCAACTTTTCATCACATCAAAAACTTTCCTACACACATAAACTTCCAACTTTCTTCAAACTTCCTAATTTTTCCACCAACTAAACACAGCCATTGTGAGAGGTAGAAACAACTAAAACCTAATTATGTGGATCCCATCTTACTACCCACTTGATAAAAGAATCAATTTACAGTGGTCTCGAATTCCGGTGAACTAATCTAACTTAATTTGAAATGCTTAAAAACGACATCTGAAAAGTCAGTATCAACGAATCTGTATCGACGACTGCGGTGCAGGGGAGCCAGGAGGCAGTGACTACTCGACTGATGGCTGCCGAAAGTCTTTAGTAATTTTTGCCAACTAAACAAGGCATTAACTGAGGCCGAGTTTAGTTACAAACTTTTTCTTCAAACTTTCAATTTTTCTATCACATTAAAACTTTCCTATACACAAACTTTTAACTTTTCCGTCACATCATTTCGGGCTTGTTTGGTTTAATACCCTACCAATATATTGGTAGTGCCAAACTCTAGGCAAGCTTTGGCACTACCAATATTTTGGTAGGGTAGAATTGTAAATGAGTGTCTTTGGATTGATGCCAATTGAGAGCCAAATTTCAAATTATGGTGAAGAACATTCTAGAATTGTGCCAAATTGAGTATAGGCATTTCCAAATATTTGGCTTTAAACCAAATCATCACATTTACTATTTAAACTACCAAAACATTGGTATGGCAACATTTTGGTATCAAACCAAAACGGCCCTTCAATTTCAATCAAACTTTTAAGTTTGACATGAACTAAACACAGCCTGACTTGGATCTGAACTTGACAAATTTTGTACCAATCCGATGTAGCAGACCATGGATGTAGTTCTTTTGTCTTAGCGTCTGTCCACCTCCAAGCATTTGCTTCAATGCTTAGAAAATTATGACAGCTCACCTCTATCCTTGATTGCAAAATGTGCTGCCCTTATGTAGATTGAAAAATTTGAAACTATTCCAAATAACATCCAAAGTAGTACTAGTAAAGTAGTAAGAGAAGGTATTTCATCGAACTTTCCCAATTCGCTTCCTCCCCATCCAAAGTAGTAGTGAAGTAGTAAGATATGTATAGGAGTTTTGCCCTCTGATGGCCTCTGCATGTTACTAATGACCAAGTGTATGGATAGCTGAGATCATTAGTTATTATTAGTTATTGATTGGTTGAATTGAACGTGCTTAGGTTGCACTAACTGTAATCTTTTTACTTATGGCAATAAAATGTTTACCTGATTCATTTACTTGCGCCGTGTTTAGTTCCAAAATAATTCTTCAAACTTTCAACTTTTCCATCACATCAAAACTTTCCTACACACATAAACTTCTAACTTTTCTGTCACATCGTTCCAATTTCAACCAAACTTCCAATTTTGGCGTGAACTAAACACACCCATAAACTTCCAACTTTTTTCTTCAAACTTCCGATTTTAGTTCACGCCAAAATTGGAAGTTAAGTTGAAATTAGAACGATGTGACGGAAAAGTTGGAAGTTTGTGTGTGTAGAAAAGTTTTGATGTGATGGAAAAGTTGAAAGTTTATAGAAAAAGTTTGGAACTAAACTTGGCTTACGTGTGTATAAAAGTTTTGATGTGATGAAAAAGTTGAAAGTTTAAAGAAAAATTGGGAACTAAACGTGGGCTTACTGTGACACACTTCTTGCTGAATGTCAGGTGTATGTTAAACATGTGTTTTAGTTGAGATTACTATTGATTGGTTGAATTGCGTGTAGTCTGAACTAATGGCAATAAATTAGTTACTTGCTTCATTTGTTTGTGCCAAACGTGTACTCTGCATGAGTTGGTTTGAGTTCAGACTCTTAAGTCTGAATTTCAGACAAGTTCAGAATTGAGCTGGTTGAATTTCAGAGAGTTTAGAATTGAGTTGGTTGAATTTCAAAGAAGTTCAATAAATTAGTTACTTGATATATTTGTTTATGCCAAAGTAATAACACCAGTAGAGTTGATTCGGACAATGAGGGTTTTAATGGTGTCAACAGCTGGAATTACCGAGGAAGGCTCTGTCGCTGAAACTGACGCCGGCGTTTTTTTTAAAAAAATATTTTGATGGGTGATGCCGGTGATTTTGGAACAACAGCAACTAATGTTTCTGTTTTATAGAGAATACACATGTGCATGCACCGTATTGTTTAACAGCTAGGAGCAATCTTAACCGGCATTATATCAACAAGGTTTAGGACGTGTTTGGTTTAAAACCAATTTTTGCTCTACCAAATCTTGGTAGTGCCAAAATATTGGTAAGTTTTGACACTACCAAATTGGGTTGTACTGAATTTGAACTACTGTGAGTAAAATTTGGTAGCAAACCATATATGCACTTTTTATTATTGAAGTTACCAAAATTTTGGTAGTATAATAAGTTGGTATCAAACCAAACTAGCCCTTAAACTGCGTCCAAGCTTTTCAAACAGCTGTCCTTCCATTAGCTTTGTTAAAAGTTCTGAAAAAACTGGTCCAAGGAAGAGATGAAGGATCTGAACTTCAGACTTGATAATTTCATAGCACCTATCCAAGAGAAATTTTACCGTTCTTGAGGTACCACAACTTCAATCCCACTGTTAATTCCACAGGGGTGAGATCTGTATGGGGAAATTTATTGACACAACCAAGTCCTAATGACTATAGTTGGCCAAATGGGCCGCCCGGCACGGCACGGCCCAGGTCCGGCTGTGCTTGGGCCGAGGTGTTGCACACACGTGCTGCACACACGGCCTAGGCACGGCCCAATACGACTCGGGCCATGCTGGACTGGCCCGAAGGCATGATAGCCCATCGTGCTTCTCCACAGAATAAGTCTATTTTTCATCCCTCAACTATGTGGGCTATGTTCATATGGCTAGAAATAAATCTATTTTGTATTTCTCTCCTTTTTGGGTGTTGCCTTATATGGTTATTTAAGTCTATTTTTCATCCCTGTACTATTTTTCTTCGATCGTGCCATGCCGGGCCAACCCACCGTGCCGAGGGTGCAGCCCAAGCATGGCTCGGCTGTGACCGGGCCAAAATGACGTGCCTTGGGCGGGCCGTGGGCCTCGGGCCATATGGCCATCTATACTAATAATGACTTAACCGTAACCTGATCTTTATCCTCATCTTTCTCTCCAGGGTTATCTTCCTTTCACAACAACACGGACACGCGGTGATGGAACTCCTTGTGCGTGGCTCGCTTTAGGCTGTGTTCGGAACTCAAGTTCCCAACCCCTCTCACTCGTTTTTCGCTCGCACGCTTTTCAAACTGCTAAACGATACGTTTTTTATAAAAAGTTTCTATACAAAAGTTGCTTAGAAAATTCAAATTAATCCATTTTTTTAAGAAATAGCTAATACTTAATTAATCACGTGCTAATGGACCGTTTGGTTTTTCGTGCATGGGAGATGGGTTCCCAACCCCCTCCAACGAACACAGCCTTACTCATTCCAGCGGCATGGAAAAAGAAGGCAAAGAAGAAGATGGTTCTAACGTGTGGGTCTTGCTTGTCATTGAGGGAATAGTGAGGCTATGAGCTTGAGATTGGTCCTTCTGGACCAGCCTTGCTGTAGCAGAAAAAGAAGAGAAATGAGAAACAACAGAATTTACATATATATTACGTACTTTTTTTATTATATTAGTATAATCACATAAATAAAAAATATTCTTAATTGCCAAAAAGGTACAAAAATTTTCAGAACTCAGAAAAACGCAGCCAAACCTCACGACCAAATGTAATCTTACATGAATACAAAGGATGGACATAGCTATCATTATCTGCTCTCTACCTCACTTTCCGTGAGGCAAATACGCATCTAATGGCATTTAATTCAGCTAAGCATCATGCTTACATTAATAAATGATGACACTAAATTCCCCTTGGACTCCCACTCTTTGGATGAACTAGTAAAAGCTACCACCGGTGTCAGGTGACACCGACGACTTTCGGCAAAAGTTATGCTTAAAATGCTTATTCATATATTATAACATTATATTCTAAATATAATTAGCATACTATAATATCGATAGACGATACCAAAGATGATTCGCCAATGTATCTAGTACAACATATCTTGAGTATTTTTTTATAAAAAAATAATGTTACGGCACCAGTGCACCACTGATAAATCTGTTTGATTATTGAAGAGGTTAATTAAACTAATATTTAAGTGATCATCATATGAATATCCGGATAAAAGAAAGTGAAAATGAAATGAGGTAATTTTTTAATAGAAAATGGCAGTACTCCGTCCGTAAAAAAAAAATCAACGTAATATTAGATGAGATATTTTCTAATACAACAAATAACACATCAAATCTATTACTTAGGTTGATTTTTTTTTTATGGAGTACAGCCTATCTGGAGTAGCAGGCTGAACGGCATCGTAATTGAAAGCCTCGTCAGAGCAGGCTGGTCCTCGAACCCTTCCGAACCATCCAGAAGAGGAGCCTCCCGACGGCTAGGATGCATCCACATCCACTCATCAACGGCTAAGACGCGCCCTCCTCTCTCCGAATTTTTACCAACTTTTACTGCTCGCATCAAATGGAGCGCGGGCGAGGCGGGTAAAAAAGGAAGCGAAGAAATCCGTGGTATTTATATTTTCGAGACCCAAAAAGAAAACCACGAATTCCCAATAAAGAAATAGGCAAAATTCCCCATCTCCTCGTCTCCTCCCAACTCCAAACCCTAGCTCCCACCCCCTCTCGCCGTCGCCGTCGCGTCCCATGGCGAAGTCGCGGCCGCCCAAGCGGATCCTCGAGTCCTACACCATCAAGGGCTCCGACAAAGTCATCAAGCGTGAGGCTCCCCCTCCCACCTCCCCAACCGCTGCTCCCTTCGATCCGGAATTTCTGGGGGTTTTTTTGGGGGGGATTTTTTTTGTGGGGGCGTGGGTTTCGGTGGGTCGCGGTTTGTTGAGGTCTGGAATTCTGGGGTTTTAGCTCCGGTTAGATTGAATGTCGCGGAAATGTTTGCTCTGTTTCGGGGGAGCATTTTAATTTCCCTGATGTTTCCGTGCGAAATGAAATGGTGTTTAGGTCTCTGGTTTACTGTTGATGTAAGCTCGATTCATAATCAGAAAAGGAAACCATGGTAGGGATATGTGAGCATGTTAACTTAATCTGTTGGAGCGTTAACTCTTTGTGGTTTTGATTGTTCATGGGTTTATCTCTCTTTTGCATGGGTTTTAGGACGGTTAATACAGAAAAAAATATATGTGCTATTGAGTTATGTTATGAGTTTAAACTCATCTTGATTTTCTGTTTTAGATTATGTCCAGTGGAGCCCCTACATGGTTTTGTCTGGGTTGTGAGCTACAGTTTTAGCACCATGAGCTATGTCATTTTGCTGATATAGCGTTTTTAATTGCAATTTACGATCGCCAATAGTTTGGATTCATATGTTGCTAATCCCAGTTAGCATTATGATCATTGTGGTGCTTATAGTCGTGCTGTAATTCTTGTAGCTTAACCCCTCGAAAAAAAAAATTTCTTGTAGCTTACGTTGTGTTTCAGTTCTGGTTAGTATTAGACATTTGCATGAAGAACAATAACTTCTACTCAATGTGTCTTACCTTTGACTTTTTATTTAAGAAAATCTTTATCTCATGGCTTAGACCTTGTGTTAAGCTAACTAATTGATTCTATCCAGTTAGGCATCTTAAGTTTTTTTTTTGATAGATAGCGTGCTTTAGCCTTAAATGAAAAACGATTATTTTGCCTAGTTTTTCTAGTCTTAACTCTTTTTTGTGCTATTTATTCAAAGTTGATGCATGCGTTCTACTAATCTTAGCTTATGCAAAGGTCAGAGATGCCAGATTCTGAGATTTCTGACATTGTTCTATTGGCACATTGGGATTCTTTGGGATGGAAACCTGCCTAGATAAACCTTAATTACCGGTATATTACTTGCACCAATCTATGCAAACTTAAATGCTTCTTCTAGCTTGAGCCTCCTTTTCTATATTTATGGTTAATATCCAGACGTGTGATAGCACCGATGAACCTTGATGCTTCGATTACCTTGTGTGTGTGTGTGTGTTTTGAGAACAGATTACCTTGTGTTTGGTGAACTTTTGATTACCTTGATGAACAGACGAATATTTTTCATGGTTTCTAGGAGGGTAATACATATATGTGCTGTTGAGCTATGTTATGATCTTAAATGCACTTTGATTTCCTGAATTCCTGTTTTAGATTATGGGAGTTCAGTCTGTAAGTAGTTTTGTATCTGTTTGTGAGCTACAATTTAGCACTACTGGCAGAACCCTTCTGCTAGATATAATCTAGAATCTGCCTTCTGATCGTCATTTTGCTAATTAGAGATTTTTTTACCATCTTAATGGCTGTGTTCATGTGTTGCAAATACCAGCTGTAGTTACAATTGTTTATGGTGCTTATAGTCTTGACCTTCTAGCCTATGTTGCATCTAAGTTCTGGTTGGTTTTGACATTTGCATGAAGACTAATCTCTTTCTACACAATGTAGCTACTGTTGGACTTTTTACTGAAGAAAATGTTTGCTTAACTGCTTAAAGTTATGTAATCAATACTATCCAGTTAGGCACCCTAAAGTTTTGTTTTGGCTAGATAGTGTTCTCTAGCCTTAAATGCAAAATCAATATGTTGCATAGTCTTTCTAGTCTGAACTCCTTTTGTGCTGTTTGTTCAAGGTTGATTCATGCCTTCTGCTAATCTAACTTATATTCAAGTTAGAGGTGTCAGATTCTGAAGTTTTGATATCTGTTAAATTCTTTGGTATGGAAACCTGCCCAGATAAACATAGTTACTACTTACACCGATATCTGTAGACTTAATTGGTTCCTTTAGTGTCAGCCCTTTGTTTAATTTTATAATTCATATCTAGATGTTGACAGCATCCATGAACCTTGATGCTTTGATTACCTTGTGTTTAGTACACTTTGTTTTACTGTAAGCAGATTGCATTTCCTTTGCTCTGAGATTATCACTGTGATGCCAGTACTATCCAATACCAGCTTTACATCTTGATGATGACCCATGTCACTATTTTTTATAAGCATAAAATTATCTCGATACCTGTCTGATTCTCTTATATGTTTCTTGCAGCTGGGGACTGTGTGCTAATGAGGGCATCTGATACATCAAAGCCACCCTATGTGGCAAGAGTTGAGGCTATTGAGGCTGCAGGGTCACGAGGCACAAATGTGAGAGTACGGGTGCGGTGGTACTATCGGCCAGAGGAGTCCATGGGTGGAAGGCGTCCATTTCATGGTGCCAAAGAGGTGTTCCTCTCGGATCACTATGACGTACAGAGTGCTGACACCATAGAGGGAAAGTGCAACGTTCACAGCTTCCGTAGCTACACAAAGCTTGATTCTGTCAATGCTGAGGACTTCTTCTGTCGCTTTGAGTACAAATCAGCCACAGGAAGCTTCGTGCCCGACCGCATTGCTGTGTAAGAATTTAATGCAACCTCCGCTATGTGATAGCCCTGAAAAGAACTTGTTTCGTATTTGCAGTTAATTCCGTTGACATCTGCACAATATTGATCTGTTATGTCGATGACATTTTCCATATTTAAATATCATGTTATCTGTTGATTATGTTTTCCAGTCTTCTTTAGGGATTTCACACATGCCTTTTATATTTGATGTGAAATCCCAAGGTCAACAAGTTCGTAATTCTGATGAGTTGATATGTGATATATGTATCCTTATGACCTGTCTAGATTCTATAGGCTTCAGTGCATCACCAGTTTTATCTTTCCAAAGAGTCACAATAACTATTTCCCTGTGTTGAAGTGGAATATGAAGGGATGCATAAGGTTTTGTGCCTATTTTCAGCTTGCCACATTTGCTGTTATTACTTGCTTTTGGAGAAAATAGAGGCACAGTAAAATGCTCTTACAAACTTGAGATGTTCTTTTACCGAAGAGCCACTGCATGCCATGATATATTATGTGGTATGTCTATGGTAGGCTCGTGTAGTGGTGTAGCCCATATTGCACATAAGTACCAAGACAGCTAGAACCCATTGCTTACTACACCGCCCCAATTTAGTGCATTCTGCACCTTGCCCCATTTAAAACTATTCTTTTCGAGTCACATGCATGATGCATCACGGCTGGTAGAAGGCTTATGAGGGGTCAGCGTGCCAGGCTCATGGAAGCAGCTCATGCCGTACCTTCCATCTAGCTGTTGGTGTTTGAGATGAGGCTATAGGTTGTGCTGGCCATAGTACTAGATTAGTCCGGATCATGTAGTGTTAGCGAGGTTAGAGATAAGATTGGTTATGATTTATTACTTCTGCCTGTTAGGGCTGTCTCCAATCGTATTTGTTAGAGACACGATCTGGACAACCTGGTGCTCTCATGTGGTAGGGTGCCAGTGCTGCAGCCTTTTTGTCCATGAGGGGCCCTCCTTGGACTGCAGCCATAGCCGCCACCTAGAAGCTTGAGGATGAGCTGCTCGAAAGGAGGGGTGCAATGTCATAATGTGAGAGGTTATAGAATGTTCTGAAGGCAGCAGCAGTAGTGAATGTGCATGGTTCTGTCGGAAGCCGCTGACTGGCTAACGCATCAAGAGATTAGGAGCTGGTGTGCACAGTGCACGTGAATGTCCAATGACATGTTCAACTCAGATAGGTATCGACCAAGTATTGGTCGATTATACATAAAAAAATAATTAGTTTTCTTCTCAAATATGTGGTCAACTTTTCTCTGACTCGTATGCGACACGGCCCAGCCCACATAGCCAGGATACTCAACCCTAATCCCATCCCTGTGTGCCCTCACCAGGCTAATGGAATTTTGGAACATATGGGCATGCATTGAGTATTGACTGAATTCTAGGAGCTATGGACTGTCTTTGAGATAAGTTTTCCTTTTTTACAGCTTGCCATACATTATTTCAGTGTCAAACAATTGAAAATAATGTATACATAATATTTTTATTTAAATATGTAGTGTGTCACCATATTGTCGTTTCCTTTTGGTGGGTGGGTGGGCGTTTTGTGTTGTCTGTGGGTGTTGGGGGGGGGGGGATGGCGAATTCCCTGTATCAGTACCATGCCATGTTTACGGTCTGTATCCATGCATCATAGGCTGAAGCAACAGATTGCTGTCGTACTGTCATTAAGATTGTTAGCTAACTTTTGGATAGGCATATCTCTTATCCTTCCTATAAGTTTGACAAGGATGTTTGGCGCATAGCTAGCTTATATAAGGACACGTGACTGTGTCATTAGTATTAAGCAAGAAATAACAAAATGGTTCCTTACCTTCGTTCTTCTTATCTCCCTGCCCTTGCGATGCTGCTGCCAACCATCAGCATGGTCGTACCTGTTCGGTAGAGCCTGTGGTGTTGCCAAATCCTAAGCATATATGACACTTTGTAATGCTGTATGCCACTCTGGGTGTTTCCTTATCATGTTAGTTGGTTTCAATTATTTCTTTATTTGACCATGATTCCTCATTTTACAAAATGGATGTCTTGTTTATTATGGTAGTTCTATCCGAATAACATGAATAAAGATTTTTGGCTGTAGTGGATGAACTGCGACCATTTTTATTTACTGTTGCTACATTCTCAACCAAATATCACTTATATTGCTATGCTTTGCTGGCCTATGCTATCTATTAAATTGATTTATGTATTGCATTAATATCATCATTTTATTTGATTTTCTCATCCCTTTACTAACAATATGACAGGTTCTGCAAGTGTGAGATGCCATACAATCCTGATGACCTTATGATCCAATGTGAGGAATGCTCTGATTGGTGAGTAATGAAATAATTCATTTAAATTCATCTTTTTCCTGAACTGCGCTGGTGTACATTTTATGGTTTTATCCCTCTTGCCACTGGGTGAATAGGACAACCAATTTTTTTTACCTATTAATGGATTTGGGTGTCTTGCCCTTATCTTATTCTTGCCTATTGGGATGGGCGGCAACTAGTTAGCCGTCAGAGAAATAAATGCTTTTCCATTTTTTTTACACCAGAACAAATCACTCATTGGCTCTATTTATTCACAATCCCCAAAGAGATTTGTGCAGATATAAAGGCATAACCATTGCATAATGTCTATACTCTAAATTCCTGAGAGCAAGGCTACAAAGTGGGCCTCTCAATATGCATGGCATGTCTTTGTTGTTACATCGCCATATTAATTTGTTGAAACATGTGTTTTGGGCTGATGTTTTGGCCAATAATGTAGGTCGTGCTTATATATTGTTAATGGGAATAAGCACTATTACAATTGCCACACTAGACTCTCTTAACTCTTTCCTTGCTGTGGCAATGCAGAGACGAAGGAAAAAATTTCCTTGTTCGCTTGTCCTAATTCTAATTTAAAATAAGGAAACAATTAATGCGCTGGTAAAAACTATAGAGAGATATATATCCTAGCAAACATAAGGAAACAAGCTAAACCCCATATGGCCTACTGAGTTATTGTTTTTTGCTAGCTGTAGAACCTTGGCGGTTATAGTACTCTACACACCCCAACCCCCACACGCTCTGAAAGAAATTCATGACCTCAAGCTACATGTCCATGGAATCCACCATCAAAAGTTAATAGAATTGCTTTTGAGTAGGCTTCACATTTCATATACACTTTTCAGTACAATATATATATGAACACCAAAAGATGAGGAAGGGTTTAGCAAGTGAAGAAAGAAATCCACTCTACTCTAAACTATTTCTCTGGAGCTCTTAACCCCCTAATATATATATCCAGCTCCACCTTTCCTAGACCTGGAGCCCAACGAAACAGTTTCAGCTCCACCTAAAAGGGGAGTGGAATGGGCTGGATTGATTCCAAAAAATGAACTAGATGGGTGAAGCGGGGCTTGGGCCGCTCCACCGCTCCACTCCAGATTCCACTAGGAGTTGGAGCCTTGTCAAACAGGCCCATATTCTTTTGTTCATTGCACATGGCAAACTATTAAAACTAGGCCACACTACTACTCAACATCATTTGTCTATTTTGTTTTTCTTGTACAAGTAGTAACTTTGAGGTATGACAGATTACTTCGTACTATTGTGTTCTATAATATTTTAAGATTTTTCCTGACTATTTCACTTGGTTGGAAACACCTAATACCGGTTTAAGGACTGAGATATGAACTTCTATGCAAATGATTATTACAACTTTGAAAATATTTCTTAGCATAGAATATGATAGTATCAACCATCGTGGTTTGAACTTAAAAGTACTAGCAAAAAGAAGTTGGGAAGAGGATGGTTCACTGGAGTAAAATGGACCTTTTCCTGAGATAATAAAACATTTAATTTGTTTTGTCTTCTGCTTTTACTTTTGCATGAACTTTCTTATCATTTTTTTGTCACAACAAATATCTGCTGCTTTTGCTTTCCAGGTTTCACCCTTCTTGCATTGGAATGACTATTAAAGATGCAAAAAAACTAGAGCATTTTTTCTGCCAGAGCTGTACTGCGGAAAATGGAAAGATGGCTGAGAATTCTCATGAAGCTACAGCGCAATCCGAAGAAAAGGTAAAATATGATATGTTGGGATTACTGAATTATCATTAATGATTTGTTTAGCTATCAGTAGTGCGATGGTAATACATCAAGGCCAGGGTCTCCCGGGTTCACCATGTCGTCTTAATAACATAGGCTACACATAATTTTCAATGATATTGAGGCATGCTGCTTAATAATATTATTATAATATATGAGATGTCTGTCCTGTTGTATCGCTACTGTAGTTGAACAAATTTCCAATACTTAATGACACAAAGCACCAGTTGGGAAACAGTACCAATTTATTCATATGGCAGTAAAAAGTCTGGTGTGATTTTACAACTATAAAGGATTGGGGAACTTTTGCATGTTGATTACTGTGGCAATTGCTGTAACCTTTTTTTTGGATACTGCACAATTTGCCCTACTTTAGCTTGTACAGTTTCACTCTTATATTATGCATAATCTAATCATACAGTAAATAAAACCCATCCAAGGTACATGCACTATTTAGTTCTTTTTTAATTTGGTAATCACCATTCTGCGATTCTGAAAGACAAACATTTCATTTGGACTAATCTCTTCAGCAGGTGGAGTCAAAAAGACGGAGAAGGTGACTGCCCCCCAGATTCATTGACGAGATACACCTGGATGTACAAAGCCTTCTCAAGTTGGTGTAATGCTATTTATTTGTCATGGCAAGTGTGTGTGACCCACGACCACGAGAGTCCCTTCCTGTAATGTCAGTCGCATGGTGTACATAAACTTTTCAACCTGAGACTGTTGTATTAGGAGACGACACGACCTGTTGTTGTTGCATGATGTTTTTAGCAGCGTCAGAATTAGCATGGTAGAGTCGGGTGATGAAGCCCCTCGCGGGCATTAGGACTCCCGTATGGATGTTATCACTGATCATACATTGATACTACATTGGATGCAGTTGAGTCTGTCATCTGCGTTTGTCTTTGGAGAATTCTTGTACCATCAATCCATCATGTGAACTTTGATTCTTTTCGAGACGCTTCGTAATTAATGCAGGCATTTCTGTGTGGGTAGTCAGCTAACGGGGGCGAGAAATGGCTTAAGAAGTATGGTTGAAATTGGAACGATGTGACGGAAAAGTTAAAAGTTTGTGTGTGTAGGTAAGTTTTGATGTGATGGAAAAGTTGAAAGTTTAAAGAAAAAGTTTGGAAATAAACTCAGCCCAAATGAAAATTTGACATCACCAGCCAAATTTTGGGTAAGGTAGTACTAATGTACAATCCTACTAAATTTTGTTAGTTTTGAAATTTTCCACTCACAAAAGTCTACTAAAATTTGTGAGGTATTAAACCAAACATCACCTAACCTTACTTTTATCTTATTAAGGGGCTATTTACTTCATTTCTGACCTTATCAGTTTTGTGTTACCAAATTTTATTAAGGTAACAAAATAAACATGTTCTCATCTCTACCTTACTAAAATTTACTGTAAGTTTTCGAAGTTTCCTCTCACAAAAACACTACCAAACTTTAAAAAGATTACAAATTAAACATATCCAATGCTATCAAAATTTGGTAGCATCAAAATATACCAAATTTTTATAGTGCTAAATAGGGGTGGAAACGAGCCAAGCCGAGCCAAGCCGTGAAAGCTTGGTCAAGAACAGGCTTGGCTTGGCTCGGCTTGATAAATGAAACGAGCAAAAAGTGCAGCTCGGCTTGGCTCATTTAAAAGCTCGAGCCGGCTCGAGCCAGCTTGTGAGGGAGGCTGAGCGGCACTGAGGAGGGAGGCCGGAGGCAGCGCAGGGGAGGGAGGCAGCGCCGCGGTGGCACGGGGAGCGTCGAGCCATCGACCATCGACCATCGAGCGCCGCTGGGGAGGGAGGCTAGAGCCAGCGCAGCTGCACAGGGGAGGGAGGGATGCAGCGGGCCGGTGGCGTAGGGGAGGGAGGCGGCGAGCCGGTGGCACAGAGGGGCGACTGGGGACGGGGGAGGGAGGCGGCGCCACGGCGGCACGGGGAGCGTCGAGCCGTCGACCGTCGAGCGCCGCTGGGGAGGAAGGCCGAAGCTGTGCAGCCACACAGGGGAGGGAGGCGGCGAGCCGGTGGCACAGAGGGGCGACTGGGGACGGGGGAGGGAGGCGGCGCCACGGCGGCACGGGGAGCGTCGAGCCGTCGACCGTCGAGCGCCGCTGGGGAGGAAGGCCGAAGCTGTGCAGCCACACAGGGGAGGGAGGCGGCGCAGGGGAGGGAGGCGGCGAGCCGGCGGCACAGACGGGCGACTGGGGATAAAGGAGAGAGGCGGCGGGCCGGCGGGCGGCGGCGCAGGGGATGGAGCCGGAGACGGCGGCCGGCAACTCCTCTCGCTAGTCGCCGCCAGACGCCAATCGTGCGCGCGTGCGGCGGCGTGCCTGCGCCTGCGTGGGATGGGAAATGGGGAGGGTCGGACGGAGCAGTTAAGGTAGGGTTCTCTGTTTTTTATGGGCCAGACGGAGACAATTTGTTAATGGGCCAGGTCAGGTCATGTTTTTCATAGGCTCGACGAGCCTACCGAGCGGCTTGCGAGCTAGCTCGGGCTCGGCTCGATTTGCAAACGAGCTGTGGAGGGAGGTCGGGCTCGGCTCGTTTAGTCCTCGAGCCGAGCCGAGCTTCACGAGCTCGAGCCAAAGCCCGAGCCGAGCTCACGAGTCCAAGCTTTTTGTCCACCCCTAGTGCTAAATGTTGATAAGGTTGATTTTGGTAATAAATTTGATATGTTTTTTTTCCCCAAGAAGGGGAACACACCATAAGAACAAGTTCCTGATGAGCAACGGCTTTCTTACCTGAAAGTTGAGTGGGCTGATTTTACCTCCTAATGGGCCTAAAGTGCAGCGGTCAGCCCGGTCCTTAATCGGGCCGAGAGCACCATGGCCGCAATAATTCCATGCTGGATCTGTGTTGAATTTTTTTAGTTTTTAGATTTTTTTTAATATTTACAGAAATAATCTATCGGCCAAAAAAATTACAAAAATAGACCCTGCTGCCCACCTCTAGGGCGGCAAGCTGACGTGACAAACGGGGGAGGAACGGGCGGTGACGGAGGGAGGGTTTTTTGCAGGAAAACCCTTGCCGCCCTGGGCCCGAATGCAAAAAAGCCAGTCGGGGCCGGGCATTTTGCAGGCGGCCCCTTGCCGCCCTCTGGCCGGGCGGCAGGCCTCGTTTCCTATAAAAGGCCTGCCGCCCAGCCCCCAGCCCTCATTCCTCCCCCCTCAAATCCAGTGAAAATAAAAGAAGAGAGGGGAGGAGAAGAGAAGAAGGGGCGAAGCCCTGCCGGATTCAGACGCCAATTTCAGGTAATATTCATAGATCCTATATGTGACTATTGAGTTAAATAGTGTGTATTTTTTAAAAATTTGTTTGAATAAATGCATTATATTTTTAGGGTTTTAGTTGTACTAATCTAGAAGTGCGTATTGTAGATATCGGTAACTACGTACATCTGCTAGTTTGGAATCAATACATTACCGTTGCATTGGCTTACACAAGAAGATATTACGTTGTAGATGTTTATTGCATGAAAGAGTAATATGATCTAGTTAATTCGTTGACAGATATGTCGAACAAACAAATATTCCAAGTTTACCATGGACCAGGAAACGTCCGTTACGGGCCAACTGGGGTAGATCTGTCAGATTTTATTGTATCAGAAAGGGGAATTGATAGACCGGCTGAGAGGAGTGTACCTTCTATAAAAGGATGGTTAATGAGGGGCTTGAGAGTTGATCCACAGACAAGTGACATAACAATCAATGTTATAGTCTACGGCTTGCGCATACATCGAGTGGGTCGATACAGAAAATCCCGTTCTCGACCTAACCACTTGTTTACAAGGTCGCTGGTATTTCGCATCCGAAAGTACTGAGCAATACTTACAGAGAAAAGCGGCTTATGAACGACAATGTCGTGAACAACAGAGCGACTGGCGGGTGCTAACTACGGCACTCCCTCCATGGGAAGCCCGTCCAAGATGCAGGTGTAGTGATCGTTGTCAGGTTCTTCGTTCCATAAATCCTACAACATTGGATCGAAGGTTCTTTGTTTGTCCAAATATTCTTGACGACGATTTCATGGTAAGAATATTTTGATTACATGAATCCTTATTTTCTCACAACATTTACTAACTTTACTCGCTTTACATCTATTCTTTCCTCCCAGGAACCACCAAGGAGATGTCAATACAGAGAATGGATAGACACCAGAAGGGTTCTAACTCCACCTAGCCGTGTTGTGCAGTTTGAACTACCAGAACAATACAGGGTTACTAAAGCGCGGTTTGAGAGAGGAGAGGGATCCTCACGTAGGGGTTAGCTATTATCGGACAACTTGGCATATTGAAATTTCTACTGTCATGCTTCCTTGTCCCATTACTACATCGTCGTTGTGTTCAACTATTGCACTACCTCCCTCCTAGTTCAAATCTAATATCATCTATGTAACCGTAATGAAAATAGTTGTATCATGTTCAAATTGTACTACTATTTCTTCATGTTACATAATTCTCCTTGTTTAAGTCCATATAATGTTTCTACGACCGAGATTGCGATAGGCCTATATTAATTATCCGAGTACTAATACGTCGAATGAGGTACAAAATAATACCTCACTTAACATATGAAATTGCGCAACAACCAACTTCAATACATTTTTATAACAATATTAACAAGTTTTACCAATAAATACTTCTTTATTTATTATTAACATAACATAGAAAAATCTTTTGGCCGTACTTTTTACTGGGGCGGCAAGGGACCCAGATGCAAAAAGTACGGCCGCAAGCTCTTTATGGGCGGCCAAAATTGTAATTAGCCCCTTGCCGGCCTCTGTATGGGCGGCAAGGGCCTAATCGCAATTTTGGCCGATGGCGGCAGACGGCGCGGTCGACCCACCGTCTGCCACGTCAGCTTGCCGCCCACCATTGGGGCAGCACGGTCTATTTTTGCGATTTTTTTTGGCCGATAGATTATTTATGTAAATATTAAAAAAAAATCTAAAAACGAAAAAAATTCGATCTGTGTTAACTGTTAGGTTGACCCAAATTATGTCCGGAAATTCAATTAAGCCGACATTTCGCGATTACTTTTCTGCAAGTCAGAGATGACAGCTGCAGTGCAGCCACACTGCTGTAGTGTCGTCTACTCAATCCCCCGCCCTTCGCGTGGATGGCTCCGGCGAGGTCCGCCGTCGCCGCCGCCGCCGCCGGTAGCACGTACAGGCAACGGAAGCTGCAGCGTCAGGTATAGAGATTTTGTTGGTTGGTTCCCCACCTCTCCTTGGTTGCATCTGTTGAACGGTTGTCAAATTTTGTGGCCGTACTTGTCCTCGAGATGATCTCAAGAACCAGATCAGATCTTGCGGATTGCCTGTTATTAGTGGGATAATTGGTAGTGAGTGGCTGGTAGAGAAAAGATTGTTTGGGTTTTAATTTCTTGGCTTCCACTTGGTGGATCCTAGTGAGTGAAGGGTTTGATTCAGGGATCTCACTGGAGATCCTCCTGTTGCAGGGAGAGTTGTATCGGCTTGGCGATGTTGATTCTTGTTTCTATGCAATTTATGGCATGCTGGGGCTTAAAGAATCACCTGTAGATGAGTAATTTTTATTCCTGTGGAGTTGTTATTGATGCTGAAACACAAATTGGAAGAGTCCTTTTTTTTTTTTAGAGAAGAGTATTTTTTACCCGGCCTCTATATCCAACCGGATATATGCAGCCTTTTTTCTAATAGGAACTTAGCCTATCGAACAAGGAACTAGCCCTCAAATAACCCAATCTGAAATTCACTCCTATAGAGATTTGAACTCAGGACCTTGAGGTGCTATTCAGGTCACTGCAACCACTAGGCTACATGAAGAGTCCTTTGTTGGTGCTTCACATGCATTTCAGTGGAGATCGGAGTATTGCGGTGATGATCAGTGTTGTGGATGATACACCTGCTGAGACTATCTCGTTCGGTGTCGATGTCAGTTGTGTTTATGTGATGAGTTAATGGCAGTGTTTCACTATCTAGGTTATGTCAATCTAATATTAGTCTTAAGAAAAAAAAGCCAACCTAGTATTAGTTGTGTTTTCTCAGGGTCCAATCTTAGGTAAGGAATACTTGTTCAAGCAAGCATAAGTCCATAAGGGTGCTGGCTTTTCCATAATCCACAATGTCCAGCTATGGAATGCCTCCTATTCTCAACATTTACTCATGTAAATTGGTTTTCTCTGGTTGCAGGATTAAACCCGCAAAAGGATAGCCAAGGTTCCAGACTTCCAGTTATAGGTTTAAAGCTAAAATTTGAACATGGTAGAAGCTTTGGTCATAGCAGTTGTTCAAAAGATTTCATCGGCACTTGCAGAAGAAGGATCGAAGATACTTGCTTCTAAGTTGAAGAAGCAAGCACCTGACCTTCTTGAAGTAACCAATAAAATGAGACTACTTCAAAGCGACTTCTCAATGTTGCAAGCATTCATAGCTCAAGTGGCTGTGGACAGGTCCAATGATATGGTACTTGAGGCCTGGATGGAACAGGTAAGGCTAGCAGCGCATGAAGCTGAGGACATTGTCGATGAATACACTTATCTTGTTGGCCAAACGGAAGGGACTGGCAGTTTCCTAAAGAAAGCATTCAACCAAGCAATCGAAGTTAAGAAATGGCGCAAGCTTTCAGCTCAGGCAAAACTAGTAGAGGATCGTCTACAAAAGATTTCTGAAGCGAAAAATAGATTTGATATCTCATTTGCAAGCAGTGGAAGAGAGAATACAGCGAGTTATCCAAGTAGGCACCATCATTTATCTGAATATTCATACTTGAATGATGATGATGATTTAGTTGGTAATGCAGAAGAGATGAAGCGATTAATAGAATGGTTATGTGATGCAAAAAAAGATCGCAGTGTAATCTCCATATGTGGAATGGGAGGGTTGGGCAAGACAACTCTTGCTAGTAGCATTTACAAGAAGGAAGAAATTAAAAGAACATTTATTTGCCGTGCATGGATCACTGTCTCACAAAATCACGGTGTTAAAAATCTCCTGAAAAAGATCTTAGTCCAACTCATGAGCAAAACTGAAAATATTATGGATGGGGCTGATACCATGGATTGTGTGAGTCTTGTGGAACAACTTCAAAGATATCTAAAAGGGAGGAGATACTTAATTGTTCTGGATGATGTATGGAGTAGGGAGGCCTGGCCTTTACTAGATAATGCATTTGTTAAGAACAACAATGGCAGCCGAGTAGTTATCACAACTCGAATCGAAACGGTAGCATCTCTAGCAGATGCAAACTATGAACTGAAGCTTACACTTCTACCAAAGCAGGAAGCCTGGACTCTTTTCTGTCAAAAGGCTTTCTCAAGATTAGATGACAGAAGTTGCCCCCATAATCTGAAGACCGTCGCTGAAAGAATCGTGGAGAAATGCCAAGGTTTGCCACTGGCTCTTGTAGCTATAGGGAGCCTTTTATCGTACAAAGAAATGGATGAGCATGAGTGGGAGTTGTTCTATAATCAACTTAGGTGGCAGCTCAGTAACAATCCAGAGCTGAGCTGGGTCGCTAGTGTTCTGAATCTCAGTTACAATGATCTCCCTAGTTATCTAAAGAATTGCTTTCTTTACTGCGGCCTGTTCCCTGAAGATTATCGAATTGAGAGAAAACGGTTAATCAGATTGTGGATAGCCGAAGGATTTGTTCAGGATAGAGGACCTGAGACAACATTGACAGATGTAGCTGCATGTTACCTGAAGGAACTTGCTAGTCGATCATTGCTTCAGGTTGTGAATAGGAATGAATATGGAAGGCCAAAGAGATTCCAGATGCATGATCTTGTTAGGGAAATATCCCTAACCATATCTAAGAAGGAAAAATTTGCTACTACATGGGACTGTCCTAACTCAGATGGAGTTACCGATGGATCACGGCGTGTTTCTTTACAAAAGGATGGCAATTTAGTCCAAGCAGCAAAATGTTCATCTCAGCTTCGGTCCATGCTCATGTTTACAGAGGAAATATCGTTGTCTTGGTTCACAGATTGCTACCAAAGCTTTAGATTGCTAAGGGTCTTGTGCCTGAGAAATTGCAATGTTCACAAGGTACCAGATTCTGTTTCTCAGCTGTTTAACTTGCACTACCTAGACTTGGGATACACAAAACTGAAAGAGATACCGAGTTCGATAGGGAAGCTTAGCAATCTGCAAACGCTTTATCTCAATGGTTCTGTGCTGGAGTTACCCAGTGAGACCACAATGTTAACTAAGCTTCACCATCTACTTATAGATGTCGGGCGGTTTGGGAAGTCAGCGAGTAGCAAAATAAGTTGCCTGGAACATCTACAGACTCTGAGAAGCATAGAAGCCAATAGCTACATAGTGAAAAACCTTGGATGCTTGACAAGGATGAGAAGTGTCGGTATCATGAAGGTGCTGGAGTCCCACAACACTGATCTATGGACCTCAATCAGCAAGATGACATCTCTGAATTCATTGTCTGTTCTCGCAGAAGATCGTGATCGATACGCCCTTGATCTCGGCAACTTAAAACCTTTATCTCACCTGGAGAAGCTGATGATAAGTGGCAGGCTACACAAAGGAGCAATTCCTCCCGTTTTTGCCAGCTTCACCAAACTGAGAAGCTTGAGCCTCTGCTTCTCTGGTCTTCATGAAGATCCGCTCGCTTCTTTTGCTGCCATGTTCCAGAATCTAGGCCATCTTAACCTTTACCGGTGCTTCGACGGGGCGAAACTGACATTTCGCGCTGGATGGTTCCCTAACCTGAAACACCTGTACCTGAGCTCCATGAATGAGCTCAGGGAGGTTGAGGTTGAGGATGGCGCCATGAGAAGCTTGTGGAGACTTGAGCTTTGGAGCTTGAAAAGCTTAACATCTGTGCCACAGGGCTTTGTGCATCTTAGGTCACTCCAGCAGCTGTGCATTGGATCATTGATGCCTGAAGAGTTCCACAGGAGGTTAGAGGGAATCGATCGGTGGATTGTTCGGCACATCCCCTACATCGGAGACCCGTGATCGCGCTGCTACCCTCACAAGCATGATAAACTGTGTATGAAATTTCATGATTGGATCGGATTGGAGGCTTTCTTAAGAAAAAATGTTGTCTTAATCTGTTTTAATGCAATTTTGAAGGGTCATCTAATTTATGCCACACACTGCAATAGTGGCAGTTCTTGAATCCAATAACACTGGAGGTTTATTTTGCGAAACCTGTGAAATGAAAATTATTCTGACCCATTATGCGGAATAGAGAGTAATACTAATAACTATAGTAGCTCTGAATCTCTTAGAATTACAACACGGCAGCTCAAACTCCAGTCATATGTGAACTTTTTTTTTTCTTTTTGAGATTACACAGCAGATGCACACACACTCCACTATACACGCAACACCACACTCACACCCCCGCGAATACGTCCCCTCACACATGCTCTAAGAGACGAAAACCAGCGCACATCCCTGATTTCACTAAAATCCTATTGAAAGCCCATCTACATATGTGTAATATTCGTGGGCATCAGGATTTGTACCCTGGTTGGTGGAGTCATGCATCCACAAATTCACCACCACATCACTGATGCTTCCCCCAGTCATATGTGAACTTCAAAGGCTGAATTACAACAAAAGAACACTTGTGCCCTGTCATTATTCAGGATTTTCTTTTTATTATTTGCAAGGATCCATTCATTCAGAACTGAATGGATTAGTATGGCAAACACACTGAATTTGTAGGGTTAGCGCCCTCGCAGAAAATGATTATTACATAATGATCAGATTAATTTGCAGTATATAACATGCAGTGCATAATATATATATCCATTTTGCTATAAGACCATCTTGCTCTGCATGCATGCATGAATGCCCTTGTCTGAGTATGCTGGTAGCTACACAAAACTAAGTGAAGCATTCAATATTCATGCTGCCGCGCTTGAGACAAGAAAGGAGTGAGCGGGAAAGTCTTTTCTGAACCTAGGTGCAGCTGCACCTAGGCTCACCGCCATTAGATGGCTCCAAGATTCGTGCGTACACTCTATACGGACGAGGTATATCAGCGAATATCTGCTGTATTCCATACTTTCCCCAGCGCATACGAGAAATACACTGGCCTGGCCCCACGCGTGGAGCCCACTCCACCAAGCCAGCAAGGTTGTGCTCCCGACGGTCCCTACCCCTTTCACTTCCACTTTCCCCATTCCACCGGACGTTCCGCGGCCGTGCCAAACCGAACAAGAAGCGCCGACGGGTTGCCGCCGGTGGAGAACGACGTATCCCGGCGCTCCGCGACGGCGCTGCCCACCCCACCCCAGGTAAGAGATTCGGCTTCCTTCGTTCCATCCACACCCACATTGCAGTTGCAGCCGAGAAGAACTAGTAGATCTAGAACAATGGAAGAAAGGATGAATTGTTTTATGGGTTCGCCAATAGTTTCTATGGTTTTTCATCGACCATTTTCTCCTTGGATGTAGGGCGAAACAATGGAAGGCCCCGTCGGGAAGAGAGGTGCGTTGGGCCCAGTCCGGCCGGGAGGGCACATCGTCGGCGGAAGAAGATGGTTCAGAAGACGAGACACATGAAGAAGACGCAGGACGAGTGTGCCCGGTAGAACAGGACGTGGGAGATGAAAATTTTGTTTTACTGGTTTTCTCCAGGAGTGAGCGGTATCTTCTCGCCCAACATCCGGCGGCGGCGTGGGACGGCCGGTGAATGGTCACCGACGTACGTTGCCCTCCTCCTCCTTGTTCATCTCTGACCCGACGGGTGGCGCCACGGCGGTGGCGTTGGTGGCGGCGGCGGCTTAGACGACGGCGACGATTGGCCGATGGCACAGGCGTGGCGGCTGCGGCGGCGGCGATTATCGGGGCTACGAAGGTCATCGTCAGCATCATGCTGCCGCCTCACACGTCCGTTCGCTCGCCAGCCGATCGAGAGGAAGACGATGAATTCGGCTGTGTTCTTTTTTAACTCATAGTTCCCAATTCACTTCCTCTTGTCACGCACGTTTTCCAAACTACACAACAATGCGTTTTTTAAAAATATTTTATAAAATGTTACTGTAAAAAATCATATTAATTATTTTTTTAATTTTTAAGCTATTATTTAATTAATCATATATTAATCCGTCTCTTTGTTTTACTTAAGGAGGCAAAATACTCCAAAAGAACACACGTAAAATGCTCCATCCGTTCCAATATATAGCAAACTATATAGGGTATTCTAGAACTTTATATAAAAGTTATAGATCTCAATGAGATCTACAATTTTAGAGTTTATTAATTTTCTATTTAACATTATCTAGAGTGTCGAATAAGCATTATTAATTAGTTTTTAAGTTTATTTGCCTGCCGTCAAAAAAAACTTTTTAAGCAATTAAAACACTAAAAAGGAAGGGTTTGAACTCAAATAAAAAAATTGCATTTAGGTCCCTTAATGCCCTTTGGAAGGGCGATTTTTAAAAACGCCCTCCCAAAGAGCGAGAGGCATTTAGATTTGTAAAATTTTGAAAAAAAATTATTTTTTAAATATTTTAATAAAAGAATGTAAAAAATTCCTAAGTTGCTACAGTGTCGTGCAGTACTGTGTTGGGCTACTGCTCCTCTGCTATGGTCCTGTTTGGATCCAAAGGATATTTTTTAGCCCTCCCTCAAATAGTCAAAATAGCTCAAAAAGATCCAAAAGGGTGAGCTATTTGAAGGCTATTTGGAAATAGCCCACCCAAAAAAAACTATCCCACCCAAAGGGTGCTAATTGGGGCTATTTCAGGTGCGGCCCACTGAAAAAGTGTCTTTTATCTCTATCTCTCTCCATGAGAAGGTACATTAAAAGCCAAATAGCTTTCAAAATAGCCCTTGGATCCAAACAACTTAGGGCTATTTTATTGGAGGACTATTTTCTTGTGCTAAAAAATAACTCTTAAAATAACTCTAGACTAGTTCTCCAAACAGGGGCTATGTTGGCTTGCTGCTGGGCTCCGAGTGCTTTTTGCTGGGCTGGCCTACTGCTGCTTTAGCTAGTTGCTAGCTAGCTTTCCTTTTTTTTTTTTTGGTCACGTGTGTCCCAATTTTGTATTGCCCGGATCAGCGACGAAATAGGAATCAGAACCAAACACCGAAGGAAAAAATACAACGAAAACCTTAAGTATTTTTTATTAGGTATATAGATATAGATTTCGCAACAAATAATGTATACTTCTGAGAGGGATATGTGGATTTTCATCTCTCAAAGGGACATTCCCTGGTTGTTTGCATGTCATCTAAATAGTTATTAAATTTTTTTTAAAAAATTGACAACATAGATTAATATAAAATATATCACTCCACAAACTTACAAGTTTACATTCAAATTCTACAAGTTATAACAAAAATAACAAATATAGTTGTGAATGTACGATAACTATTTTCAGCTTAATTTATTCTTTTTGTTGTAACTTGTAGAAGTTGAATTTGGTCTTCTATGTTTGTGTAGTGATATATTTTATATTAATCTATGTTGTCAATTTTTTTTATTTTTTTATAAATATTTAGGAGACATGCACGAAACGAGTGGATATCCCATTGAGGGATGAAATCACTTTCCTTTTTTAAAGGAATGTGGATTTTCATCCCTCTCAGTGACACTTATTTGAAAGAAATATCATGCTTCGCATGTCGCGACTGCAAGATATGCAATGTAGAGAATTGCACGGACCTCACCTAGGCGCCTAGCTCAGCTTGAACTACAACACTAAGCTTGAACTACAACACACTCCCATGTTTTGCTGCCCAACTTTTTAGTCCATACTCCACGAGTTTACTAATTTAATTAAAGAACTTCTTTGTTAAGAAGGGCCATTCGTGATCATGATTGTTGTCGAAACGACAACCGCATACGTCGAAAGACGTGGTTACTCAATAAGTGTATTAAATTTCGAATTTCACTTGGGGATCCCCCCATTACATGGCCCTAGGGGACTATTTATAGCCCCATTACAGGTTCTTGCTACTAGGGTTTAGGTTGTACAGGGGAATTTACATGATTACCCTTACGAAAGGGACATTTACAGGGGTACATAATGTTATAGGGGCTCATGGGCCCCTGATGGGCCATCTGGCGATCGCCGGCCCTATAGCCCTTAGGCTTGATGGGCCGGAAAGGCTTCCTCGGCCCTCGCGGGGGCGAACTTGCCATGGCGAAGTCGTCTTCCTTCGGCAGGTAGTCTTCGCCTTGCACCCTTCGCCTGAGACGCCTCTGGCCTGGCAAGGCACTCGTACGACTCTTCGCCTCACGCCGTTCTTGCTCCATAGCCTTCGCCACGGGTTTCGGCAGATTTAGTCGAAGGGCCTCATGCCATCCGCCAACAAGCCCCTCACGGGCAAGGGTGAGATTGGAGCTTCGGCCGAGACCGTGCAAACCATGTGGTATGGTATGCGGCGCCCCCTTTCGACCGATGCTCCTGCCGAAACCTACATTATTCCTACGAATGAAGTTTGTTACTTGTGCGGCTGGTATTATTTTGCCGCGCTTCGCCTCCTGCGATTGGTGGTTATATATATTTTCTTTTCTCGGGCCGAACGAAACAGTATTGGGCCTTCCCATCGTGGGCTTTTTACTGTGCTGCTCAGACGGTGGGAATTTACCGTTTCGCCTATCCTTGCGACACGTGGCGCTTTATTACTGGTGGGTAGGCGAACGGTCGCTCGGGTGAGCTATATATTCCCACCCCTCTTTTCTTTTCACTGGTACACTTGCCATTTTTACTGCGTGCGCTCTCTTCTTCTGTTCCCCTCTTCCACAGCATTTCTTGACCCCTCAGGTGTTTCACCCATTATCTTCCTTCGCCACTGCATACACGCCGTTTGCCATGGCCCCTCGCAAGCCAAACCCAGCTTCGGCAAAAGGACCGGATCCCGGCCGGGTCGATGATGACAGCACCGCCTTTTTGGGGGTTTCTCTCGTGGACGACGTCGAACTGGCGAAGTTGGTCAGCTCTGGGGCGTTGGTTGAGGGGCAGGCTTTCGCCCCGGGGAAAGCCGTGGTGCCGAAGCTTGTCGACAATCGGACGGTGGTGTTCGCCGTCTTTTTTGAGGCGGGGCTACAGTTTCCGTGCAACGTGTTGTTGCCGGAGATCCTTCGCCTTTTCCAGGTGGAGCTTCCGCAGTTGAGCCCATCGGCGCTAGTTCGGATCTCCATCTTTGACTGGGCGTGCCGGACTTCCGGGTTTGAGTC